GTGTTGTGGCAGGTACCTGTAGTCCCACCTACTTGGGAGGCTGAGGCAAGAGAATCACTTAAGTCCACAAGTTTGAGGTTGCTGTGAGCTATGACACCATTGCACTCAACCCTAAGGTGACTCAATCAGACTCTATCTCAAAAAAAAAAATGACAATTTCAATAGTATGGAACAATGTGCCTTCTATGTCAATTCAGGGTAGGAGGGCTGTGCCTGTGGCTCAAAGGAGTAGGGTGCTGGCCCCATATTCCAGAGATGGTGGGTTCAAACCCAGCCCTGGCCAAAAACTGCAAAAAAAAAAAATCATGGTAAAATGAGTGTGAGCAGGGAGATAGGATTGACTGTCTCTCAGGCACTCTCACTACCTAGGTAATTCTTATGCTGTGAGCCTTTTGACCACCTCAAGTTTTGGAAAACATTGTTAAGTAACGTCATTGAAATAAGTAGTTCACCCTTTGAAAGTGTACAATTCTGTGTTTCTTAGTATATTCACAGAATTGTACAGCTATCATCACAATCTAATTTCAGAACTTTTTTTTCTGTCCCACTCAAAGAAAGTCAATACACCCAGCAGTCACTTTTATCTTCCATACCACCACCCCCACCTGCCTTCTACTCCTAGCAAACAACTGGCCTTGTCTTAATGTTTTCTTCTAAGTTAAATCATATTATATGTGATCTTTTGTAACTGATCTTTTTTCCTTACCATAATGTTTTTAATGTTCATTTGTATTGTAACATAAATATGCACTTAATTCCTTTAGATTGTTAAAAAATATTCCATCATATGAATATAGCACATTATATTTATTGGATCATCTGTAGATCCCATTTATATTACCGAAGAAGTTCCTTTCTAATCTTAGTTTTTAAAAAGAGTTTCATCTCCAAGATGTGCTGCATCTATCAAATGCCATTTCTGTGTCTGTTGAGAAGATCATGTTTTTTTTTAAATTTATTCTATTAATGTAGTGTATTCTGTTAGTTGATTTTCCCGTATTAAACTAGACTCACATTCCTAGTAATAAATACCATTTGGCAAACATGTATAAAATATTTTGTATGCTACTGGACTTTTTCTGCACATATACAGTCTATCTCTTATATATTTGAGACTATATTTCCTTCCCCCTTTGCCCAAGAAAAATACAGTGGTACTATCTTAGCTCAAGCAATGCAAGCTGCTTACTTCAAGTGATCCTCCTGACTTTATCCTCCTCGGCAGCTGGGAGTACAGGTACATGTCTCCATTGCTGGCTACGTTTTACATTTTTTTTTTTTTTGGCAAGTAGGGTCTCACTATGTTGTTCAGGCAGGTTTGGAACCCCTGGCTTCAAGTGATTCTCCTGCCTGGGCCTCTTAAAGTGCTAGGATTATAGGTGTGAGCTATGGTGCTCATCCACGCTTATGTTTTGATGAAGATTTTTCTCGATTTTCGTAATAGATAATAACCCATAGATTTAAAAATAACAATTTTATTAAGATATAATTCACATACTCCATTATTCACCCATTGAAAGTATAGAATTCAAGACTATATATTCAGGAATCACTTCTATAGTTTGCTGGTTTGTAACTAGAGAAGTTTCCCTGAAAATGTGGAACAGAGAGAGGGAGAGGGAGAGGGAGAAAGGAAATAAAGGGAAGAAAGGAAGAATAGAAAGGAGAGAGCGAGAAAGAGAGAGAGAGATAAGGAGGAAGTAAGGGAGGTAGGGAGGCAGGGAGGGAGGGAAATAAAGAAAGAGAAAGTGACCTAGTGTAATAGTTTACACATACATTCCCAGAACTCTGGGAGGTTAAGGTCAGTAGACTGCTTGAACTCAGGGATTCAGAGACCAGCCTGAGCAAGAGTCAGACCCTGTCTCTACTAAAATATAGAAAAACTAGCCAGGTATTGTGGCGTGCACCTGTAGTCCCAGCTACTTGGTAGGTTGAGGTGAGAGGATTGCTTGAACCTAGGAGTATGAGGTTGCTGTGAGCTAAGCTGATGCCACAGCACTCTAGCCTGGGTGAAAGAGGGAGCGTCTATCTCAAAAAAACATGAACACACACACACAGAAACAAACAATAAAAACATTTTCATCATCTTAAAACTCTATACCCTCTAGCTATCCCCTCCCTACTCAAACCTTTTAGCCCTCCTTACCTCTAAGTGACCACTCATTTATTTTCTGTCTCTGTACATTTGCTTATTCTCAACATTTCATGAAAAGAGAACTATAAAATATGTGGCATCTAGAGTTTGGCTGTTTCCACTTAGTGTAATGTTCTCACAGTCCATCTATGCTGCAGCATGAATCAGCACTGCATTCCTTTTTATGGCTTAATCACATACCATTGTATACACATACTGTATTTTAGCAATCAGTTTATCAGTTCATGGACATTTTGGCTACTATGGGTAATGATGTTATAAATATCCATGTGCAAGTGTTTGTGTGGACATATGTTTCAATTCTTCTGAGTATATACCTAGGACTAGAATTGCTGTATCATGTGATAACTTTATGTTTAACATTTTGAGGATATGCCAAAGAGACTGCACCATTTTGCCTTCCCACCAGGAATGTATGAGTTTCAGTTTGTCCACATCCTCACCAACCCTGCTCATGATCTAATTTTTGGTTATAGCCATCCTAGTGGCTGTAAAGCAGTATTATGTGCTTATTGTTTCGATTTGCATTTTTCTCATGGCAAATGATGTCAAGCATCTTTTCATGGTTTATTGACCATTTGTATTTGTATAACTCCTTTGGAAAAATGTCATGTCAGATCCTTTGCCCTTTTTTTTTTTTTTTTTGAGACAGAGTCTTATTTGTTGCCCTTGGTAGAATGCTGTGACATCACAGCTCACAGCAACTTCAAACTCTTGGGCTTAAGGGATTCTCTTGCCTCAGTCTCTCAAGTAGATGGACTACAGGTGCCCACCACAACGCCCAGCTATTTTTTTTTTTGTTGCTCCAGATGTCATTGCCCTTTAGCAGGCCCGGGCTTTGTTTGAACCCACCAGCCCTGGTGTATGTGGCTGGTGCCCTAACTGCTGAGCTATGGATGCCAAGCCTTTTTGTTGTTTTTATGGACAGGGTTTTGCTCTGTAGCCCTAGCTAGAGTGCAGTAGCATCATCACAGCTCAATGTAGCCTCATTCATACTCCTGGGCTCAAGTGATCCTCCTGCCTTCCTGCTTCAGCTTCCCAAGCAGCAGGAATTATAGGTGGGAGCCACTGTGCCTGCCCCCCTTTGCTTTTATACACACACACACACACACATATATTTTTTGTAGTAGAGAGAGGATCTTGCTCTTGCTCAGGCTGGTCTCAAACTCCTGAGGTGAAGCTATCCATCCATCTCAGCCTCCTGTAGGGCTAGGATTACAGTCCTGTTTTGCTTATTTGCTAATCAAATTGGGTCTTTGTCCTTTTACCTTTGAGTTGTAAGTATTCTTTATATACTCTAGGTAGAAACCTTTTATCAGATATATGATTTGATGTATGATTTTTAAAATGTATTCTCCCATTCTATGACTATGTTTTTTCTTTTCTTATCTTATCTTTTCTTTTTGTTTTTTCTTGAGACAGAGTCTCACTTTGTCACCCTTGGTAGTGTGCCATGGCATTGCAGCTCATAGCAACCTCAAACTCTTGGGCTCCACTGATTCTCTTGCTGCAGCCACCCAAGTAGCTGGGACTAAAGGCAGCTGCCACAACACCTGATTATTTCTAGAGATGAGGTCTCACCCTGGCTCAGGCTGGTTTTGAACTCATGAGTTCAAACAATTGACGTGACTCAGCTTCCCAGTGTGCTAGGATTACAGGTGTGAGCCACCGTGTTCACCATTTCTTTCATTTTCTTGATGATATCCTTTTAAAGTTTTAACATTTTAGTGACATCTCATTTACCTATTATCTGTTTTTTCTTTGGTTGTTTGTGCTTTTAGTGTCACATCTAAGAAACTGTTGTATAATCCAGGGTCTCTAAGATGTATGTCTATGTTTTTATTGGTTTGCTTTGTTTGTGGATTTTTTGTTTTTGTTTTTGATTTGCTTTATTTGGACACAGGGTTCTCATTCTATTGCCCAGCCTGGACTGTAGTGGCTATTACTAGGAGAAATCATAGTGCACTACAGCCTGGAACTCCTGTACTCAAGCAATCTTCCTGCCTCAGCCTCTGAAGTAGCTGAGAATACAAGTGTGTACCACCATGTGTGGCTCTATTTTGTTTCAAGAGTTTTTGAGCTTTTACTCTTGGGTTTAGGTTTTTGATCAATTTTGAGTCTGTTTTTTGAGAGATGGGGTCTTGCTACATTTCAGGTTGGAGTAAAGTGGCTATTCATAGGCAAAATCATAGCATACTGCAGCCTGGAATTCCTAGGCTCAAGCATCCTCCTGCCTCAGCCTCTTGAGTAGCTGTGACTACAGGTTTGTACTCTCATACTTGGCTACTTTTAAAAAAAAAAATTTCTAAAGAGATGGGATAGAGCTATTGCTCAGGATGTCCATTAGGGCCATATATATATATATATATCTGTGGCTTGGAGAATGGCATGAAAGTTTAGGTAGTTTCTCTTGGCTCCACATTCAGCCAGGGACTGGCTCTCTTTTTCACTGTTCTTTATAGGATTCATCCTTGGACACACAGTCATTCAACTTCAAGGGAAGATGGCATTATTTTTTTTTTTTTTTTTTTT